AAAAAAAAAAAAAAAATTAAATTTGTAGAAGGCTGGGCACAGTGGCTCACACCTGTAATCCCAGCACTTTGGGGGCTGAGGCAGAAGGATTGCTCTCAGGAGTTTAAGACCAGCCTGGGCAACATGGTGAAATACCATCTCTACAAAAAAAATACAAAAATTAGCCAGTCGTGGTGGTGTACACCTGTAGTCCCAGCTACTTAGGAGGCTGAGGTGGGAGAATCGCTTGAGCCTGGGAGGTCAAGGCTGCAGTGAGCCGTGATCATGCCACTGCACTGTAGCGTGGGTAACAGAGTGAGACCATGTCTTTAAAAAAAAAAAAGAAAAAAAAAATCTGTAGAATATGAAGCAAGATGAGAGACATTTGAAAGCATATGTAGGAAAATCAGGTGTTCTCCTAGAGCTGGCTCTCTGTTATGATAGAGACCTTTAAAATGTTTCTGGTGCTTGCAGACGTCACCCTACCCTCCCACAAAGATAACAGTGCATTTACTTCTGTCACTAGAGATTAGTTTTGCGCATGTATTCTTTCCTTAGGGCTGCCATAACAAAGTCTGGGTGGCTTTAAAACAACAGAAATTTATCATCTCACAGTTCTGGAGGCCAGAAGTCAGAAATCATGGTGTCGGCAGGGCCATGCTCCCTCTGGCAGCTCTAGGGAAGGACCTTTCCTTGCCCTTCCTGGCTTCTGGTGTTTGCTGGCAATCCTTGGTGTTCCTTGGCGTGTAGATGGGTCACTTCAGTCTTTGCCTCCATGGTCACGTGGCCATCTTTTCCCTGTGTTTCTTCACATGGTCTTCCCACCCCACACGCAGAGGTATGTGTCAGTTTCTGTGTGGCTAAATTTCCCCTTTTTATAAAGACAGCAGCCCTATCGGATTGGGCCTATTCTAATGATCTCATTTTAATTTTTACCTTTGTAAAGACCCTGGGAGTTAGGACTTCAACATGTCTTTTTTGGGAGACAATTGAACCTACATAGCATGTTTTTGAACTTTACATGCAGAATCATTTTGTATGTAGTCATTTGCATCTGGCTTATTTCAGTCAATATATTAGTGAGATTCATCCGTGTTGCCGTAGCAGTTTCTATTCATTGTCAGTCCTGCCCACCACTATATCAAGGCTCCGCAAATTATGGTGTGAAGGCCAAATGCATCATGACTCATTTTTTTCCCATATGGAGATCTAGGAATTACATAAGAAAATGTGGTTTTTGGTTTCTATGGTACTTTTTTGCATATTTCTCTTTGTTTGAATTGGAAACAAATCTAATTAATCCTTAATTAAAAGAAAACTTTTATATCCCATCTTTCCATGACTATGAATATGTTACATGTATAAATGTTTATATCTACTATGTGGTCATTATACAGTTTGAACTAAAACATAGCTTATACTTGCCACGTAAGTTTATGGAAAAAGTTAAATTTTTTTTTAATTGATTGATTTCTATCCTGTAACTTTACACATAAGACCTGGTAATACAAGCTTGTTGTTAAAAATAATAATAATAATTGAAATTATCCAGAAGGACATAAAATCAAACTAACAGGCTCCTCTCCTTATCCCTGTGGCTTGCCCAGTCTAATCCTTTGTAAATCACCACTATTGACAGTTTTCTGAATATTCTTACAAATATTTTTTCTGACATGGAAGTGTGCATGTATCTGTGTATGTGTATGTTCCCTGTATTTCTAACATACCTGGGATCCTAATATGCA